CATCACTCCACGTCTACAAACACCTGTGCCTGCTCCTGCAGCCTCCCGCTCCCTGACATTCCCCAAGCAGCAGCTTTTTGTACCCAGTGACCACTGGGTACAAAGAAGCAACAGAGCTCTCTAAAGAGAGCCAAGGAGGGAGACAGCAGAGGCCATATCTTCATAACAATACAATTCTCAAATCATCATTTCACAGCAAAATGAGTTATGCCTGACTACATGCAGTTTGCTTCATCAATGAACAGTTATTCTCTCCTTGCTGTAATACCTAAATAGTGTTCCTTTAAATACCAGATAGATCTCTTGACCCTAGCATGCAAAAAGAAGGGGCAAGATCTAGTCAGATTTGCTCCCATGGGTGTCATCTCACTCATCCTTTCCTGTTCCTTGTGCAGCTCCACCCAAGCACCACTCCCACATCTGCAAAAAGCCAGCTCGTCCTCATAGTTAGGAATGAGGGCTTAGTTAACACAGCCAAGTACTTAAACATAGCAAGCTCTTAAAATTACAGAAAATAGAACAGCATTAAGTGCACATATTTATAACGCAAAAAAAATTGGAAAAAACTTCAGATCTAGTATTCTTTGCTATACAAGTAAATTTAAGGAAGTATATAGTATACTATCTCCACTTAACAGGAGTTGTCAGGTGAATGAACAGGAGATGAAACTGGTATTGATTACAGCGGAAATCAACAGAAGAGCTAAATATTGACCAAAGCTAAGTTGGATTCAATACTTATATTATGGAACAATAAATCATAAAAAAAACCCAATCCAAAGCTATAGCTATATTTCTAATGGCATGGCTAAAATTTCATCTTCAGTGGATGTCACTCAAACAGAAGCAATAGTTAAGTTTAAATACTTAACTTGGTATTCTAAAAATAGGAAATTATTGTATAAAATCAATACTATGAAAATGGTTTATGATTTGTTTTTTAAAAGTCCCTCAATACAATTTGAAAAACTTCCACCAAATTACTAACATTCTAAGGCAGCGGGGAGCATATAATGTTACACTGCACTCAGTTTGCCAGTAACTTAAATACATGTGTTTTTTTCCATGGCCAAACTGACTGGATATCATTGAGGTTATGCAGAATCTTTTCCATTCCAAGAGGCAGCAGTAACAACAGAACTTTTTATGCTATTGCTGAATGAATTAAAACTGGCTGGTTAGATTTGTAACATACAACTGCACATGTTTCTTGTAGTCTGCAGTGTGCTGAGATTTGATTAACTATTAGGAAAGGTGAAGAATTGAGAAATGAAGGAAATGCCTATTCAGGGAGGGTTGCCAATGACTAATGAGGCAGGCACATTGAGCAAACGACAGAAATACTAATGGCTCCAGAATGAAAGATATAAGGAGTTTACTTATCTTTGAAGATATCATCTGGGGGATGTATGGAATTCAGAAAAGGTTTAGGCAGCAGACAGTAACTAGGGAACATTATTTTTGGAGAGCAGAATGCATTTTAGTGAAAAAAAAATTGTGAGATAAAACTTTCCTTTTAAAAAATGTTGTGAAAATGTTGTCAGAGTATCATAGATCTGAAGGGAACCACAGATCCTGTTAATCTTTACTGTGGTAACATAGGTGAGAGCTTCTCAGACTGGAAGGACAGAGAAGAAGGTAGAAGACACTGAAGAATATGTGGCAAGTTCTTCTCCAGTATTTGCCCCTCTGGGAGAATCTAAGGGTGCTCTGAAGCCAGGTGGCTAATCTCATTCTAACAGAGCAGTGCAGCTCTGTCCCGGACTGAGGGAAGGAAACCCTGTAGTTTGTACAGCTCTGCATGGCAAAGCTCCCAGGAGAAAGTCTGGAGGTATAGGACTTTCTCATTCCTTCTGATCCTTTTAATATTTTCCATGAGATTGTGACACTGGTTTCTACACCCTCCAAGGCTGTGTCAAAGGCAGAATGTGTCTCAGAGGCTACATTTCTATGAGCAGAGGTTCACATTTTAAAAAAGGAGGTGGAAGGAAGGAAGTAGCTACACACCAATCACACCTTCTTCTGCCTAGCTGGCAAACAAAACAACTGTACCACTTGTAGATATGCTGGCCTTACATGTTTCTCATCTGCTGTTATGCGACTTCTTTTGAACTGCTTGCTTCAAAACAGGCTTACCACAGATACTTACTGCAGATACTGACCATGCTAAAATGGATTGCCCAAGGTGGCAATCACAGTCCTCTGCAAAATCTGACTATCCCATCATCTGCTACTAATACAGTACCACCTCTCTATCTCCATGCCAGCAGCAGACTAAGAGACATGTTAAACTTACAGCAAAACTAGCTCATTTAGGGCTGCTGCGAAAGTAAGTCTCAAAAAGCTCAGAACAGGGGCAGATACCATCAGTCCATGGACTTTTCCCTCCATGTGGGTTTGTTTGCTAAGGAATGGTGAAAGCACAAATTCTTTTTGTTCAAGCAAAGCTGCTTGAGAATTTACTGACAAAGCTATTTTTCAGTGAAAAATTAGGGGATTCAATAATTCATGTTTTACTGCAGAGCACATCTGTATGGATTTTTCTTAATAATCCCATAAAACACAGACTATGCCATGACTAAAAAATAATATATATATATATATATACTTTTTAGCCAACTGTTTTCCAGTTACCAAAACTCAAAATGTTTTGGCTGGCCTTTAAGAAGTGAAAAATTTCCACTAAAGAAAACTATTCCTCTGTTTCTCTCTGGCAGCAATGAACTCAACACAGTGTTGCAGTCCAGGTCCAGGTGTGGAGGATATTTCTGGAAGATCAGTGTACAGAGCTATCACATTTGGGTTTCAAACAGGAGCAGAACTGGTCCCAAAATTCTTAGCGGGCCAGCACAAAAAAAGTTAGGAATGTTTTGTGGTGAATTTTTTTCCATATATGACTTCAGCTAGAGTCTTGGCCCTCAGCCATTCAAAACAAAAAATCCTTTCAAATTTAAAGTGTACTTTGAAGGATACACGAGTAGAACGGACTGAACAAAAATAAAAGCATCAGATAGAGCTGCTAAATAATATCAAGTAAGAAGGAATTATTCTTTTATACATTTTTCACAACATTCAGAATCTATATTTCTCAGTTCATTACCTATATATTTTTAACTGAGGCTTCAAGGAGTATATTTTTAATAACTTATAACACTCCTATTAGGAAAATATTATGCTAAAGCACAGCTCAAAATACCCTTCTCCAAAATAAGAAGTACTATCCCATCCAGAACAGTAAACCCCGTCATCTATTGGCAAAGAATATTACCTTTGAATGCAATTTGCTTAGCTGCAAGAAAAGATCATTGGTTTGGTAGGCAGACATGCTCTTTTACTTACTTCTTGTTTTTAAAACGAAACTTTAAAGCTAGGCACTTACATAACAGGGAATAGTTAAAGGCAGAGTTGTGTCGCCATGAAATGGAATTAATAGTCTTACTCTTTGCCTTAAATTGGCAAGCATTTGACTTTTTTTACATAATCCAACATCTGCTGGAAGCTGAAGGATGTTCCTGGAAAATGCCTAAAATCTTTTCAGTTTTTTATTTTTTTTATTACTGGAAAAATACTACGGGAAATACTGGTTGTAGCCAATAAAATATAAATACCCACAGTTAAGCTGATTTCTGCAGGGGAAACGTTTGCAGTGCAAAAACCTGTATTGGAGAACTTCAGTCTAAACTCATCATTGTAGGAAAATCTAGTACAGTCTTTTTTTATGGACCACAACTGAATGTGGCATACCCACTTCCTTGGCCATTTGAAACAAAAGTGTTTCGCAGAGATGGTGTGCATGATCCCCAGAGATGCCATCTTTTCCTTACAGCCCATCTGAGATTAGTAAAGCCTGCAGACATGCTGTGTCTTGTCACTGCGATGGAAACGACTCAAGGCAAGGAGTGGCTAAAATGTGCCTACATTACCAGACTAAAATAAGAATGAGGTGAAGACCATTTACTATTTCTTGGTACAGCCTGCCAAAGAAAACTGAATGAACCTCCCTTTCAAGAAAGTTTCTTAAAGAAACTTCAAATTAGTGATGGAATTTTGGGCAGCCTCAAGCATGCTAAGTAATTATAGTTTTCATCTATGAAACTACTCAGTTTGAGCAAACTCAAAGCAAAACTGAGCTCTCTGGCAATCCCAGAAATGTACTGCAAGCCTGAATGATGCAAACAGCACTCCGTTCAGCATGAGAAAAATCCAACCACACCATTTTCCCTCTGACAGAGTGGTGACCTATTTATTTTTTCAAAGTCTTCCATCTCCCAAATTGACTTGCAGCAGAAGACCAAACTGAGAACACAGTTTCAGCTCATACGTCTAAGGTGTCCAAGAATCCTTAAACATGGTGAGCATATATATAACTTATGCTCAAAGCTCCTTTATCAAGCAGAGTGTAACTGTACACAACAAAGCTACAGTCCCCTTGTGCAAGAGATCAGGCTTCTTCAGTACCTTGTTTTAACTATGGATCAAATTTTAACAGGAACTAAGAACCAACAGTAATGCACCCCAGACTCTGCAGCAAATGGAAAATGTGCTCCTTCTGTATCATGTTCTTTAACATTACAGAACAATCAAAACATTACCAGAGGAAAAAAAGAACCTTTGTGGATACAACTTTTCTTTAAGAGAGAAAATGAAAAAGAACCAAACGTAACAGGTATGTGTTTTGTTATAAAATGCACTATTGAAAATCACTCCATTATATTAATGAAGTTGGTATGAGAAGTCATCAGGAACCAAACTGATGTGATTTAGTTGTCAAGAATAAAAAACTACTTTGCTGCATTATTTTGAGGAAGGATATATATAATGGAAGAATCACCTAATTGTGAAAAATTAGCTTCACAACTGAGAAGGGTTAGAATTTGGCTTCTATTCTTACTTGTATTGTAGTTTATAAGCTTTCCCTTTGTGGAAGAATGCAGAATAAATACTGTATTTAGTGAACACATTTAGTAATTATTGAATTAACTAAGTCCAGTTAGTCTTACTGTGATAAGGGCCCTCATGCCTGGGATTTTCCATCAGTCTCCTGTTTTCAAGGACTGTGACTGTATATCCGTGTTTTTCCAGGATGCGCTGACAGAGCTCACGGTCAGTTTCATGGTGAGCAGGAGGTGCATATAGAACTGCTCTTCTCGTGCGGCTTCCAAAGTACTGGAGAATGGAATCATCAATCTACAGCAAACACAGTGCAAATACAATGGTTGTAAGATAGGACACTCCTCAGCAATATAAAGTACAGTTGTTATTTTTCACAAAAATTACTTAGTAACCTAATGTGACAGGAAATAGCTCTAGTATAATTAGGAATCCTAAACAGTGCTAGAGATTACTGTGCTCTAGAAAATTAAACATAACCTTGTCATGCCATATTGCCTTATTAGTCCAACATGATCCAGCCCATAGGAGGACTGGTAGAGAAACTTTTACGTAGGAGCAACTGGAAAGGTGTCTGATGTCTCTAATGAATCCCAAGGAACACTTGGGTTATCTATCACTAACTATCTTCCTATGTAGTGTCTAGGGACAATGGCATCTAGAGAAAAGCCTTCCTCTATGTAATATCCTGGAGTATAAGCTTCTTGCAAGGAAAAATGGAAAAGAGACACCCCAAACACACGGAAATAGTGTGAGTCCTCCATGAACTTCTCCAATGCGAGTTCTTCCTATTGCAGATCTTTACCCACTATTCCAGCGTATGTCCCTTCTGCAGGGTGCAGTCCTGCAGGAACAGACTGTTCCAGCGTGGGTTCTCCACAGGCTGCAGGCAGATACCTGAAGGTGGATTTCCATGGACTGCAGAGGGATTGCCTGTCTCACCATGATCTTCATCACATTCTGCAGAGGAATCTCTGCACTTGTATCTAGAGCAGCTCCTCCCCCTCCTTCTTCAGTGTGTCTCTCCTGGGTGTCTGCAGAGTTGTTCCTCTCACATATTCTCAGTCCTCTCTCTGTCTGCAGTTGCACAGTTGTTTTTTTCCCCTTCTTAAATCTGTTATCCTAGAGGCGTTACCAGCATCACTGATAAGCTTGGCCTTGGCCAACAGCAGGTCTGTGTTGGAGCCAGCTAAAATTGGCTTTGTCAGGCATGGAGGAAGTTCCTAGCAGCTTCTCACTGAAGCCACCCTGGTAGTCCCCCCCACTACCAAAACCTTGCCATTTAAACCCCAATACAATAAGACATAAAAATAGGATGCTCGATGTAGCAATTAGGACACTATTACCTAGAACAGTCTAGCTGTTCTTTTGTAGTAAAAACACCATTCACAAACAAGACTTTCTTTTGGTGAAAAATACTTGTCTTTAGGATTGAAATATACCATCAGGGATTAAAATCAGGACATGAAATTAGTTCTTCACAAGCTTGTGAATTTCAACCTAGCATTAGTTAGCAGTTTAAAAACTAAGTTATTCCGTATATTCTAATTTTAGTAAGTTTATCACTGGAGATAAGACGCGCTACACAAACAAGTCACAACCATTTTGAGCACAGTAGAAGAGACTGAAAAGAGACAGATGTTTTGACATAAATAAATATCATTCAAGATGTGTCCTGTTGCTTATAGGGATGGAATGTAGTGATAAAGTCACTCTCCTTAGCAGTCTATTCCCTGAATACGGGATGCAGTTTTACATTATGCTTGGCTGAACTGTAAATTTCTCTGCAGCAGTGAGGAGCACAAACTATTTCAGAGCCCTGAGCTTCTAACAGCACATCTGCTTTTGCTCCATGGAAAGGCAGCATCATAGCATCATTGATGAAAGGACCCTGAAAAAATCTCCATAGAACACTGTCAGAGTCTTCCACATATATTTGCTAAATGTGCAACCCAAAACTAGTTTAGACACTGGGATATTCAAGCAAAAGTTTGATCACTTGCTGGCCGGAAGAAGCACAAATAGCACAGGGTGAAGTCATAGGAATTGCATTAGGTCACCTGTCAGACAGCGTTCCTGGCATCCCAGCTTTTTTAAAACACATTAATCAGGTGCCAAGCACAGCGTTGGAGAGTCTCAGATGTCCCTTCCCCACCACAGCACCCGTCACTCTTGTTCCCCTCTGCCTTCACCCCTCCTTCCTCTCCTCTTATCTTCTCTCTTTCCTGTTCTCCTGCAGCGCCAGCAGCTGCTGGCAGCCCTTTCTCTCCATTTCCCTCCCTCCCTCCCTGTTCCTAAATCCAGCCCTTGTCCCAACCCCCATCCTGTGCTCCCTCTCCCTCTTCCAGGCACTCCAGCCAGATACTTCCCACTTTCCATTTCACTTGCATAGTGGAAGAAACCCAGAAGACAGAGACACCTCTTGCTTTATTTTGCAAGAAAATCCCATTTTCCATCCCACATGTGCTGCAGGGGTGAACTGAGGACACATGAGGAACACAGAGGGGCTGCAGCCCAGGACACATCCCTGTTCAATTTTTGCTGGCAATTAAGGCTTCTTCTGCTCCCATTCCTCCCAGCGTGACCTGCCTTGGATGTGCCAACACTTTGTGTGCCCCCTCCTCACTAACAGTTACCAAAATTCTGTTGTGCTACGAAAACACACCTTTCTTCACGAAAGCAAAGCCTTCTGCAGTGTCGCCTCTGAAGTATTTTGCTTCACACAAATATTAAGAGGTCCTGCCTCAAGCACCCAGCAGTGACTCCATTTCCCTTGCAGTCACCACTCCAAGGTCAGCACCTGCAGGGCTCCCTCGGCTTGGCCACCGCCTCACAGCCCAAGCCTGCTCCAATAGGCCTTGGCCTTGGGTGCCAACCTCACACGAGGGACAAGCTGTCCTGCCTGGTGAGGCACAGGGGACAGGAACCAACCAGCCCCGAGGTGTCATGAGGAGCCCAGGGGTCATCCACCCTGCCTGTGGCAGGATCTGCCAGGGAAGGGGCTCTCCCTCCCGCCTCTGTGTCACCATTGATGCAGACGGCATCTTCCCCAGCTCCCTGGGGAAGAGCAGAAATGTTTACAATGCTTTAGTTTGGCTGTGACAAATATGCAACAGAACACTGTTAGCAGCATTAAAAAAAAAAAAAAAAAAAAAAAAAAAAAAAAAAAAAAAAAAAAAAAAAAAAAAAAAAAAAAAAAAAGTAAGTTCAGGCAGTAGCAGTGGCATGGGTCATTTCCACAAAACACAAAGGGAAATGGCCCTGAGCAGCTCCACGGAGCCCACACAGCAGCCGGCTCCCACCAGGCCCCTCCCATGGGTGCTCAGGGGGCTCCTGACAGCCTTCACAGATAGAGCACAGCACTTGCTGCTCCAGAGGGCTTTTCTTGGGGCATTCACTCCAGAGACACACAAAAGTCCCTCAGATTGACAGTGTCCAAAGTCTCCTGACACATGCTGGGAGGGACCGAGTGGGGACAAACTCATCTGTGCCTCCAGCTTCCCCTCCCACCACCCAGGCACTGGGCATGAGGCACTTTTATCCAACAGCTTCCCAAAGGGCTGTGATGGGATCTCTGGGAAAAAGAGACAATTCATGATCCTAAATTTAACAGCTTGACCCAATATCTAATCTGGTACTAATAAATAATATGAAGTATCTCCACACCTTTTAGGGTACTTTCTTGAGATTGACGTGTAGTGTTGCCAAATTTATTTCCTTTGCCCTTTTGTTTTAGAGCTATATGCAGTCCAGGTTACAAGATTCAATGTGTCCTCTGTTTTCTTGCCAAGCCAGTACAATGTAGGGTGGGTTGTTAGCTAAACAGGATTTAAAAAAAAAAAAAATCTGACCAACTGCATGCCTGTAGCAAGTGATTCCATACCTTTTTCCAAAGCTCTATATAAAATGCTTTCCATGACTGGACATGATTTCCAATATCATAGCAATAAAAGTCATGTTTATATATTTAAAGAATCTGCTGGTTTTCATAAAATGTTTCTCAATCACAAAAATTCAGCCTGAAGAGAGAGTTAGTATAAAAGAAACCGAGTGCAATAGATGAAAATAAGCTGTTCATGTATTTCCACATTTTATGGTCCTGGCTTTTTGGCATTCCTCTGGATTTAATGTACAACCGGTTTAGACAAAAAAAAAAATTGATCCATAACATTTTGAAAATCTGACAATAATTGGTAAATGGTCAAATGTTTTAGTGTACCAACCATTTATTAGCTCTTCCTCAGTTTGAAGACTCAGGCTATTTGTTAGCAAGTCAATTTGTCACAGATTCAATATACCCTTTGTAAAAGGGATTGGTAAAGAACATCTGCAGCCCATGTCTTACCTAGAGAATGGTGAGTTTGTCTCCACAGAAATTAATGAGGCTTTACAGCAAAGCTGAGATTTCCCATATGATTTAGGATGAGGCCTGTGTCAGCTTTGACATGATATACCTGCTTTTACGGCTTACAAAACACTGCACTTAGCTGAGTCACTGACCTCGTTTTAGTGCAATTGGCTGTTACACAGATGATCCACAGCCTTAACAACTGGTTTAAACAAACCACAATGGACTGTAAAGTGAATAAAAATGCATAAAAGTTAATTTTGTAATTTTTTTTCAATTTATAGAATAACATGAAAAACACAAAAGAAAGCAAATTGAGCTCCAATAAAATTTATTATGGTTTTTCAAAAAAAACTATCACATCAAATGTATATTTCTTTGATGTCTTAACAAACAAGATAAATGGCCCAGTTTATATAATATGAAAGCTCAAGAATTACATAACCATCCTTGTACAGCTGAAAATAGACATCTATTATCTGAGTTGTAATTCTTAGCTCTGTCTACATGCAAGTTCCATAGAGCTGTGAAGTACTCTGTTAAAGAGAAAATGTTTTGACATTTCCCATGAAACCAACACATCCAATTCTAGTTTATGAATGTATAAGGATATAATTGATTCTAATAGTCTCTGAAGCTTTACTCTATCTTACAGAATTTCTGGCTTGTTCCAAAAATCTAGAATTTAGTCAGTAACTGAATCTTGTGATATATAATTGCTGGTTTTGTTTTGGCCAAGAAGAAAACAGCAAAGATCTTTCAAGTTGAGGAGAGAAAAACAGTTCCTTGGCAGTTTTTTCAGATTCCAAGAAGATTGCATAATTCCATAAATATTGATGCATTGTCTATGCCTGGCAAAGAAGCAAATATATAGTTTGAACTGTTGCCATAGAATTTCACTGACCATCACTTCAACTGCAGAAACAAAATTCTTCTTAATATAACGCCC